CTCAGACAACAGGACTTGTCTGCACGTGGCCGGAATTATCGTGATGCTGAATATTTCTGATAGTGTCAATAAAAATGAATTTAACTAAGAAATCACAACTGTTAAATGTGATCAAATATATCATGGTCACATTCCCATGTGTAATGTAAGTAAATCTGTTAATGCAGTTAAACCTCTGTGCGCCATCCTGTTCCTAGAGTAGTTCTAGGAGAACTCCCACTTAGAGAAAGTCAAACCCCAAACTGTCATTATCCACCAGTGGATGTCCTGGAGTTTGGTGCCTGTTTTCCAGTGGTCACCTGATCTTCACACCCACACACACGCACCTGTGGCTCATCACGGCTGACAAACACCAACCAAACTTAAGGCCTGGCTGGCGTGGTGTTCCTCACTGGAGTATTGTACTTACTAGTGTTAGTAGGGATGGGTATTGTTTAGGTTTTATCCGATACCGGTGCCAAATCGGTACTTTTGAAACGGTGCCGGTGCTTAAACGGTGCTCAAACCGGTGCTTAAAGAATGGAGAACACAAAATTGGTCCAAAAACCTCTCATGTTTAACTGTTTTCCACTTTTTCTTTGGTCATTTTAGCCTTTTTGGCCAGGGTGAAGGGAGTATCTGCCATCAAACAAGAAGACAGCCGCATGTAACTACGACCGTGTTCGCTACTTCACCTTACATGCATTAATGTAATAACATGGTTAGCCTACTCAACGTAAATTACACACGAACAACATTAAGCTACTCACGCAGAGAAGAACGGCTGCTGCTGCCATCATCATCCGTCATCATTTCTGCTACACTGGCAGGGCTAGGGGCCAGGACTCTCCTCTTCGGGTTTTTGGGGGATGTTTTTAACTCCGGGTCCGATAACAGGCACCACACCAGCAGTAGATGTACACGGAGTGAGGTTTCGCAGCAAGCTATCAAATACGGCGCATTTCTCGGCTTTTAAAAAAAACGCTGTGCGTCGCCAGGTGTTTCATCGGATTCGAGGTGTTACCTCCTTTGACAGTATCACAGTATCAGCTTAAAGCACTTGTTGCAGGCTGCTGAGTTTGCATATTTTGCTGTGAAGTACAGCCAGACTTTGACCGCTTCGCCTTGGGCATTTTTAATCTGTAGCTCTGCTCTAAAAGAACGTACGTACCTGGACCCGCCTACTATCCTCGGAAACGTAAAATGATTGGCTAGAATCTAAAGTGTATCACAGCTCAGGACAAAAAGCACCGAAACAAAGCACCGAAATAAAGCACCAAAATGTGTGCTGCTTTTCGGTCTGGTTACTACCGTTTATGTCACAACCGGTGCCATCATGGCACCGGACACCGGTACCCATCCCTAAGTGTTAGTGTAGCCCGGTTTAGTCTCTTGTTGTTCTCCCTGTGTTCCTGAGTGTTTCTCTGACATCTGTCTCCATCTCCCTTGTATAGACTTTCTGGGATTTAAACCTGTCTTTCCTGGACCCTTCCCAGTTGACCGTGAGTGAGAGTCCACAGTTGGAGTGGACGGTGTGGAATCTGGATTTGGACTGTGCATAGTGGAGTGTGAGCGTGTGTTCCCCTTTTCCCAGGTCTGGACCTGCACTTGGAATCCTCTTTTCCCCGCCTCACTGTATATATGTACAAACCCACTTGTTTGATTGCATAGTTCAGAGTTCTGCCTTTTGAGTTCAGCGCCAGAAAACGTGACAAAAACTACAAAGCTTAAAATCTGATTGGTCTCCTTTGGGTTTCCTGTATTAGCTGAAAAGAAACCATGACGTCAGAACATCTGGTGAAGCTGATTCATAAAATGTACGCTGCCAACCGTTAACATTTTGGCTGTTTTGTATCTTGGAATTTTTCTCTTATAGTGCAAACAATTGGTATGAAGGAAGAAATTAACTGGTTTTTTTTCCAGGCTGTGAATCCCTCTTTTTACCCTCTGAAGAAGAGAATGTTAACATATGAGTCTGCAAGAATTGACTCAGCCAGCCTCAAGTGGCCAGCCGAGGAACTGCAGTTTTTCAGCGCTCACAGCAGCTTGCTTCTTTTAGTCCTGCTGTTTGCAAATTGAAAGATGGAGCAGTTTTTGCTCAACCAAAGACTAATATGACCACATTTTGTTGCACATGCTTGTTCACTTGTTTCAGTTTTGTCACTTTAATTATACTTCTTGCCATTACAACCTGAATGTAAAAACCTCATTTAGCCCTGTGTATAATTGTTGTAATTAAAAAGCATTGGTGATTATAATCAGCTAATTATTGCTGTTGGAAAGGCAGTGAAGGGAGGTGGTAGGATCACACCTGTTCTCTCCAGAGAATGGAAAAAAGCTCAGCCTGTGTAAAAGAAGCCAGTGATGCAGACTCAGTAATGCTGAGTGTTGTCAGCACGGTCTATAGAGTGAATCCACAAATTTTAGATTAGTGTCCATACACAAGAAATTTCATTTGCTTTAATGTCTCTTCATTTTTGTACTAAAATAAGTGGATGTTTCTGAGCAGTGACCTGAACTCAAAGCAGTTAGACACAATATAATCACAGTCACCATGGCAACAGAATGGCCATTTGTGTTGTTTCCACTGTCTTTATTATCCTCCATCGCTTTCTATCAATCCAATATTTTGTTCATCTCGTTATCCATGAGCCCACCACCGCCTGTGACTCCTGCCTCGTCTGTACATCTGCTGTGTTACAGTATGCATTTCGTGTATGTGAGCTCATCTGTGCGAATGTGAGTGTGTGTTTCAAGACTGCCGGTTTCAAGAAGCAGCACTGACTAATTTCTGGCTGTGTAATCTCATCATTTTCAGTCCATAATAGCCACTTAAATTATAATGAGCAGGTTAACCTTTGCAGCTGTGCTTGTCCAAAGCTCGTTCAACTCAGATCCCGTGTAACACGGCTGGGCTCTTTTTGATTTCAAGCTGAGGTCCAACCTTGGAAAACAAGTTATCACCAATTTTTTTTTTTTTTTTTTTGGGGGGTGGGGGTGCTTTATACAACATACAGTGCTATTATTTTCTTCAATCTTTGACTCTACTTTGTATTGTGAAGTTTTCTATTATTTATTTATTTTTTTTTAACTGAGCCGTCCTGTCATTTCAGATCCTGACATCCTGCCCTTGTGTGTTTTCCTTCTCTGTTATTACCTGCGATACACTAATTTGTATCACATGGATCTTAGTTACAGGTGTACCATCCTATTCCGAGTGGTCCCAGCTGCCTGATTTTTTTGGGATAATAAAAAGCGTGATTTTTTTGTGTGTTTTTGAGTTGTATTTGAATCTGCCTTCCGCATTGACTTGTTACACTCCCTAAAATAATTTTAAAACTAAGAACATTTGCTAAAAATTTGTAAAATGGGCAGCAAGTTTTATCTTATCGTACAGCACCAATGTATCATCTGGGAGACCTCATGACGACAGAAACATTAGCATTTAAAGAGACATCCACATACAGTAAGAAGCAAACTGACGCTTGGTAGCTACCAGCTGAAATTTCAAGGCCCAGCTCCTTACAGTACTGTGAAAAAAGTTTTTGCATGACTCTTTGCAGCAATAATTGAAGTAGTCATTTTCTCTATGACTTT